CCCTGGAAAGATATTGGGGGGGGGGGGTGTTGAACAAAGCAAAGGAAAAACATGGCAAGCTTCAAGTGGAAAAAAAAACACAAGGCGTATAAGATTATTAGGGATTTATCTTAGCAGAGTTCAGCTAACTGGTACTGAGCTTAAGGGTACTAGGCAAAAGATGCATACAATTTGAAGAGAAACCAGAGTATTTTCCACTGATTTGCTCTGTTTTTGTTTTTTCTTTGTTAGTTCAATTTAATGTTGCCTTTTAATGTTAAATCTGCAGAAATTAAAATCAAAAGTAGGGGCAAAGAATACTAAATAAGAGTAAATACAGTACTTAAAGCTTGTAGTTAGGTGGAAATACCCTGTACAAATCTTGCATTTATTGCTTCCGTAGATCAGTTCAGAGAATATTACAGAACTCCCTATATCTGGTTTCCATATACTGTATGCTGGTAGCCATTATAGAGGAGACCCAAAGTGTGGCTACCCGCCTCTAGCAAACTGAAACCACAGCCCCACAGCTAGCTAGATCTGACTGCTGCTGACACCTGTGTACCATTGCTGCCATTTATTCATCCAGATTTATTTTTGCTAAATCACTTTTTGTGAGTCAGAAGAGCCTTAGTTCATAAGGATGAACTGACTAGCTGACCCAAAGGTTGCAGTGGTGAGGCAAAGTTTGGGTAGATGGTTGCAGGTTACTGCTGCTTCCTCCCTCCTCCTCTTCCTCCTCCTCCCCATTACCACTCAAAGGAAGAAAGGGAATGTGAATGTTCCCCACATCCCCAGCCCAGAGCTTGAAATGTCTTCTATACATCTAAGTGCCTCTTACATCATGTAAATCAGTGGTCCCCAACCTTGGGCCTCCAGATGTTCTTGGACTGCAACTCCAGAAGCCTTCACCACCACCTCTGCTGGCCAGGATTTCTGGGAGTTGAAGTCCAAGAACATCTGGAGGCCCAAGGTTGGGGACCACTGATGTAAATGACACACAGCCACTGGACAGCTTTGGCAATAGTACATATATTTAACTGTGGACATTATAGTTGGACTAGGATTCAAGAGCGGTGGTTCAACGTTTAACTATAATTGTTAACTAAATCAGGTCATTGGTTAAAAAAAGTTAAGGCAAACATTTTTTTAACTGATGGACTACCAATAAAATGTTTACATGTATCTTCAGGGCTTGAAAAGATTTTTTAACAGGTATAACACCATAATTTATATACTTAAAGAGTATATAAAGAACTCTAGCAGCAGAAGGTTTTATTATTGCACAATGCTAAGAATGTGGGTTTAAAAAAAACAATTAATTTGTCTTCCAGGAAAAGGACGTGACCCCAGATAACAGGCTATGGATGAAAGTGAGAAATACCTCATGCCACCTAGACCCTTTGGCCCCATTTATGTCTACCAAAGCCACCTCCTCCATCACAGATTTTTTTCTTGCTCTGGCCTTGTGCAACACAGTGGTGGTCTCCACAGCAACTGAACCAAGACAAAGGGTAATAATCTCTCATTTTAACTTCACTATTAGGAAAGACATTTTTGTATTTGTTTTTCTAAATGGATTGAATCTAATATAACAAATGAGAGTTTTATGGTGACAGCGATCCAAAAGGAAAGAAAGAGTTTTGTACTGCAGTTTGTTTTAAAGGGTTTTTTCCCTTCCCCGTTCAGCCCGTACTAATCCCACTAAATAGTCGTTCTATCTTTCTGCCTAGCTGGCTACCCTCATGGCCCTAAGGAATATGCTAATTTGCAAGTAAAATAGTATTTGCTTTTATTTCTTGATCATTGCTGCAGCCACCAATTGATGAATTGGCATGATTAAATTATTAAAGGCTTAATTGCATTTTAAACACATTGTGGTTCATTCAGCTAGTCGCTTCCATTGTTCCAAAAGATTCCTCTTTGTGCTCTGAAAAATACCCTTGCTTGAGCACATACTGCCCCCTCTATACATGTGAGGCATTATAGAAAAAAATGCATATACAGAGGAAGGAGAAAGAGAGAAGCAGATAGACAGACGCAGATATGGTGATGCAAGTCACCATTCCTTGTGAAAGGGTGTTCAAAACACTATGATTAAGCTGCAAACACTCTGGCAAAGCCTGGAAAAGGTTTTGCTTTGTTTTGTTTTGTTGTTTTTGGAGTACCTTTCCTAGAATCCCCAACCAGCTATGCTGTCAGGAGGATTCTGGTAGCTGTAGTCAAAAAATGTAATTTCCAAATGTGCTCTTCAACTCTACAAAAAATTGGCAAACTGGTGCATTTTCAATGACACCAGCTTTTTTTTTCATTTTTAAATATTTAAGAACAGGGATGGAGAATACAAAAAGTAGGGGGGAATAGGGAAGAGGGGAAAGGGTTTGGGGGATAGGAGAACATAAAATATACCATCATCCAATTAGTTCATATTACAAATACAAATCAACTTTTTGCTTTTTCACCGTTTGATTACCCTCCTGCTTTTATCTTATCATTTAATTTTAGTTTTATTCTATGTTACTCCAACACTGTCTGGTAGCTGCTGCCATTTATACAATACATCCCATTGTTCGGTTTCCTTTTGAATTGAACAGTCCTTCAGCCCATCTGACAGAATATCCATTTTTTTCACTTCCCATATTTTCACCATGAGATTCTCTGGTTTCGTTATCTCTGCTTCCTTGAGATTTTTGACATAATGCTTTTTAATTTTAGAAGCTGCATAGGTCACTGGGTAGCTCTCTATCCCATTTTTGTTACTTGGTATCATGCCTAATGCAAACAGTTCTAAAGTTTGTACAGCTTCATTTAAGTTTTGTTTGCCATCTACTGTCCCCTCTTTCATCCCTTTCATCAAATCTTCTATTTTGCTTTCATTCACTTGCTGAAACCCTATTATTATTATCCTTTGCATATTGATCTGCCATTCCTTTTCTATTTCTTGTACCACTGTTCCAAAACCTTGGGATTGAACAGACCCAGTCTCCATTTCTTCTCTTGCATTTCTGGAGTCCATCTCCACCTTTGGGGTTTGTATAAATAGTACTATACCCTTAACTGCAATAATCACCCCTTAAATATCCTTCCACAGTTTCCACAATTTTATCAACAATCCAAACCCCTAATCATAAACATCCCCTCCAATCTTTTCCAAATATCATAATATAAAAATCAACTTTTAACCCAGCAAATTCAAACTCAAATAGAACCGTGGCACAATTATTTCTTCTTCTCCTGAGTTCAGCAAGCTTCTATTATCAGACTCACACGCAGTCCGCAATCCGACAAACAGAACAACAATCACCAAGTCTCAAACTGTCCAGTAGTTGTCCTCGGAGCCCATCTTGTGATCTTCATTAACCCCTTGATACTCCTTAATCCAGTTGACCACGTCAGCTCCTTTCTTCTCCCAAAACCCACCGAATTCTATTTTTTACAGTTCACAAAGTCCAGGGAAAGGCAAAGAGAAACGTGTCCCAGCCAAACTGCATTCACCACACTCAAGTCTCTTAAATCCAGTCAGATGGTGTTACTATCTGGGATTCTTTTCCAGAAACATAAGATTTATTTTTCTGTCTCACTCTCTCGGCTTTGAAATCAGCCTGCTGTTTTAAGAGTTCACTTGGAGAAGCTTTAGTTTCACTTTTGAGTCAGGCTGATAAGATAAGCTCGCCGCTACTTTTCTTCTTTCAGCCAAATATTTTCGTTCTTATTTTCAGCTTAATGAGGCTGTTTCATAAATCAGAGGCTTCGGCTTACCTTGTTGTTATATATTTTAAGCTTATATTAGTTGCTCTCCTCTCCCCCGGTAAAGGGTTCCTCACGGCTCAGTGCCAAAGATGGCTCCCGCTCCGATCTGTGCACGGTGATTTCTTCAGAGGGAAGAAGTCCGGGTCTGCCTCCCATTCTTCTCCTTCTGCTGCTCACCATCTGCTTCAGACAAACTTCTCCTAGATTCTCCTTCAATCCCCATTTCAAAAGGGGGATCCCGGACCGGGCGGTTCCAGTTTTTTCCAGAGAGCTCTTCTCTGGAGTTACTGGCAGCGCCGCAACAAAGCCCCGCCTCCAATGACTCCAGCTTGTTCACTGGCTGAGTGACAAGAGAGAGCCCTCACAGTGTGAGACTATGTTGCTTTGCAAATCACCAGATAAATACAAAATTTGTAGGGCTTTAACTGCTCAAGTCACAAAACTGGTTTTTGAAAAAGACAAAAGAATGATTCTGTTCTTTCTGATGTTCAGAGATTGCTTTCCATTTCCCAGTTGAAAGGACACCCACTTCACAAGCAGAGCTTGGAAAAGTTACTTTTTTTGGAATAAAACTCCAGAATCTAATAGTCCAAAAAGGTAACTTTTCAACATGCGATCTGACCTAAGGAGAGGAATACTAGGGTCTGAAAGCTACTACTTGAAAGGGTGTGCTTGAGAATTTTGTTCAGGTCACGTTTGGCAACAAACCAATATGATTGTACTCCCTAGGTTAATATAGGGAGAGGATGGTTGATTATATTCTTAATTGCATGCTTCCCTGAATTTTATGATACAGTGTTTAAAAATACCAGTTTGCATTTACACATGCAGATTTTACAATGCTTTTTTTAAAAAATCACAGACAGTAATGGTGGAATCAAATTGGACCTGTGTCAGAATTCATGCAAAATTGACACAGACCAAAAACAGACTGATGTCTTCTATACTTTTGGCTCATCATCTCTCTAGAATGAATAGGTTGCTTTATTTTCCACTTTTTTGCTTTTTTCTGATTTTGGCTTGTCCCATAATTAGAAAAAGAACATTCTTTTTCAATCATGTAAAAAACCTTTTAATATATGCAAATGTAATTGAGCAACCATTGACAAGTCAGAAATCCATTGATTTGTAAGTTTTTCAGACAGCTCCATTCATGTGTGCGACAGGATTGTATGTTTTTGTGTTTAATTATCTCAATGCCTTTGTGGATTGTAAGGCATTTCCATCTTTGACTGCTTCTATAATCCACAGTAAGGGCATAAGCAAGCAAGACAATCACATTCTAATCTAGATATTCACTTGGTCTGCCATTATTGTGACTGAAGACATTACTGGCGCACATTTCGTTTACTATATGCTACATAATGCCATGCTGATTTGAAAATATCCTTGGTACCCTGTGTAGTATACCATTTTAGCTATATTTAATCCTGGTTCTTTCTTTTTTCTCTCTCTCTCTTTCTCAAGGTTACTACTCCTTCACAGATGAAACCATCAGGACTCTCCCTGGAGAAAATCCAGCAGCTGTTCCAGCGGTTAAAGCTGGCAAGCCTCAGCCAGTCTTTTTCATCAGTGCAGTCTAGTTCAGACTTAGGAGAGAGTTTTAACACAGAACGCACCAAAGTTTGTGCTGATTCTGAAGCAAATGACTATTTTTCTAGCGCAAGCTGCTCTACTTTAACAGAAGATGATAATTTTAGGAGGGATTCAGTCACTGGAACATATCCCTCTGGGGATGTTGACCCTTCCTTGGTTGAGCTCTGTGAGCCAGATGACAAAGGAACTTTGACGCCCGAATTCTGTTATGAGGCTGAAAGCCCAGATGAGGCAGCCCTCGTCCACGCTGCCCGCGCATACCAGTTTACCTTGATATCCAGGACTGCTGAACAAGTGACTGTGAGGCTGCCAGAGGGCATCCTCTTGACGTTTGAGCTCTTGTTTACATTGGGATTTGACTCCAACAGGAAAAGAATGTCAGTAGTGGTGAGGCATCCTCTTACTAAGGAAATAATTGTCTACACCAAAGGGGCCGACTCAGTCATAATGGACTTACTGGAAGACCCCGTCAGAGGTAACTTGTGCATTAGTCCATGAACTGCTAACCGGGTGGAGCTTGGGTTGCATGAAATGTGTACCTGGTTGGCCAAATTGTAAGGAAATCAAAAGTACTAGCATTTGCAAGCACAGGACGCCAGGTCAGTAGGAGGGCATCTGTTGGGTTAATTCAAGAGTACTTGGAATGTAGAACAGGCTCATTAGGACATGCAGGAACCCTATATTAAAGGGCCTTATGGGGGCTACAGAAGAATCATACATACTGTTGGAGTCTGATGTGAGGATAGACATTACACTAATAAACGCAGTGGGCTGTTCATTGTAATGGTCACAATCTAGGGAAGATTAAGCATCATTAAGCTCTAGTGCAACCAAGCACTGCAGTCATTTTGATTTCATAGTGTAACATAGTGCAATGGCAAAACATCTTCCTCTAATAGAGAAGTTGATGTCCCAAAGCCGTTAAGACTGATATAAATATATGACCGCAAAGAAACAAGAGGGAAATATCAACACATCAGGTTTATTCTTGCTAGCATACATGATAGCCACTGGGAATTAAGCAAACCCACAGAGGAAATATTAGCAGATATTACTCATTACAAGACAAATTGTCCACAGACGGTATGCCTAAATACCAGATGCTGAGTAATAGACAGTGGGGATATACAACCAGAGTAAGGGAGGGGGCATGGTCATCTGATTGACTGCTGTGAGAAACAGAGCTAGGCCAAGACATCTTCCAGCCTGAGGGTGAGGACAGAATGACACCTCCAATAGCAAGCAATTGAGACAATATGTCTCAAGAATTTGATTTCAAGCCAAGATTGGAGCAAAAAGAAAAATCACACCAGCTGCTGGTCATTCAGACAAATGTATATTGTGCCACCTATCGCCAAGTTGGTTCCAAGCTATATAGTAGCATGTCATACATGGAAGTTACCCTATAGAGAAGAGACCAAATGACTCAGAATGAATCTATGTTGGGTCCAAGAAGTGTTTCAAGTAGCATGAAAAAAAGAAGAAGGGATAATGACAAAACTGGGGTGTGGTTTAGCGTTTCACTTGCTGTCTGAAAATCATATATTGCTCAAAGTGTACTGCCAACCAAAAGTGGCAGGGATGGGGGACTGATGTGACCATACCTCTATCTCCCTTTGAGTGATCACTGAGCCAGCGCCAGTGGAAACCAGAAGGCCACTGGGCTAGATGGACTTACTGGCACAACTGAACTCTGTTTCTAGAATGAGGAGCTAAGCTCAGAAAGTATGGTAAGCTGTAATAATGACACATGCATGTGCAGAGTGAAGATCCTGCAGCAAAGTGCTTGTGGAATTTTCTCAGGTCCAAACCTGTGGTGTTTTAGGTGTGGATTTTGAGGAGGAAAGCATTATTTAGTGCCCTAGCTCAAGCATCAACTATATACAGCCAGGCTATAAGGAATGATTTTTGTTGTTATTATTATTATGCTTGGAAGAACCTGTAGCTGGAATAAGCAGCAGTTTGTTTGTGTTTCACAGCTGGAATGACTGCGGAAAAGAATATAAGAAAAATAAGAACTCAAACACAAAAACATTTAGATTTGTATGCACGAGAGGGCCTGAGAACCCTATGCATTGCTAAGAAGGTAATAAGCTCTTCCTTTTTCTTTTCTTTTTTAAAAAAAGTAGATTGATAATAGCTTACATTAATGTTTCAGACCAGTTCCCTTGTGGAGAGAAAGTTCTACATCAGCTTTCATAAGCTTGTTTCTTATTCCTTTTTATCTTTCTGATCTGAATAATCTGAACATTAAACTAGAAGGATCAATGTTCTAATCCAGTCTTTCCATTTCTGTTTTTCTTGCCGTCCCAGTGGCACTTAATTTAATGATTTCAAAAGCATTCTCAAACAAATAGATATTGTCTTATGTTTCCTGTAGCATTCAGTATGCCATCTAGACTGATAAATCAAGTTGCATGTTGTTTGAAATTTGCCACGTCTTCCTGCTTTACTGAAGAAGTTCCCTCAGAGCATCAATAAGCATTCCAAGAATGCTCCAGAGAAAATGTTCCAACAATCACAGTCTTGGGCCAATGAACTAGAAGAAGGGAAAGGGGTTCATTGGCAGCTGCTGGTGTTCCCACTAGCATTTCACATTAACTTGAAACAGAGTGTTTGGGATCATCCCTGCATAGGAAGGAAGAAAGACAGAGAATGTTACCATGGCAGCAGTTCATTTTCAGTAGGTCAGGTATATAAAACTAAGTTTGTTTCTGTACCTGTGCCTTTTTTTTTCTTCTCTAAGGTAGATAGATTTAAGAAAGAAAGAAAGAAAGAAAGAAAGAAAGAAAGAAAGAAAGAAAGAAAGAAAGAGCACTCTTGCACCTTAAATGGCTGTGCATGGCAGTTACCCTGGCTGAAATCTCTTCTACTGCACAGCTGTATTAAAGGTGGAGCCCTGTCCTTTTTGCCATCAGTACCCATTAGTCCATTCCCATTGTCTCTGAGAATCCCTGGATGCTATCCCAAATCAGAGAGCAGAACAGCATCCCAAACCATACTGTGCTGGATCAGATGTGGTGTCAGCAGCTTCAGAGAGCAGAAAAGCATCCCAACCATACTGTGCTGGATCAGATGTGGTGTTCAATCACGGCTTGCCCAAGCCATGGCTTCAGATGCTGGCTTATCAAGCATACACTGAGTGTGGTCTCTCGTTTAATTTCTGTGCAAATCACATAGGTACCCTACTGTTAGCATTTTAACTGAAAGATATGATTACTGGAGCACAGATTTATAAATTCTCCACATAATATGTTACTAGATTAAAGCTCAAGTGCACTTCCTTGAAACATACTTCAGAGAAACATGCAGAAAATCAAGCGGCATATACCTGTCATGCCGTTTTCTCCATGCTCAGTAGTGAAAACCTCACATCTCTATCTGCATCTACCTGGGTTCTGAAGTGACATCCCATCACCATCTATGCACTGCCATATCTTAAAACCCAAACAGGTAGATTTATCAATTGAAGCATAAGTCATGTAAAGCCATTTGAAATGTTTACTTTTAACAATCCAGCAGAGTCCAGGAACCCATTGTTTTCACTCTCTGAAATCATGCACATTTGGTGTCATAGGTCTTAAGCGAAGATGATTTTCAGAAATGGGCCAGCTTTCGTCATGAGGCAGAATCTGCTATTGACAACAGAGATGAACTATTAATGGAGACAGCACAACACTTGGAGACTAAACTCACCTTACTAGGTATCATGGAAGTATTTTGTCTGTAATATGAAAGTGGTACATTGCTTCTTTTGTAATGTAGAGTGCAGGATTCGCACATTCCTCTTGCATGGCTAAAACAATGTATTTCCCTTTCTGCAAGACATGTGAACTAGAAAATGTACTCTGGGGGTCAGAGGAAGAAAGCTTCAGAATTAGAAGCCTTCATATCTATCAGAAATACAAATCAATGTCCTAGCCTAACTTTCAAATATGGGGAGGGGGGTTGGCTTATGTGAGTGGGCACCAGGTGTTCTGACAATTGGTTCATGAAGCTATCAGAATAGAAATGTAGAACTCAGGTGGCTAGAGGTTCGTGCTTCGGACATCCTGGTATCACCAGAGAGATGAAGATGAAGGCTGGCCCAAACGTATGCTAAAGCAAGCCTCCCCTCATTGCCTACCCAGAAGTCCTGTAAACCTCTCCTGTCTGTTTGATTGGTGCAACCCATGTGACACACATTAGCCATCTATGACTTGAGCAACAATTTATATGCCTATACAGTTCTGAACACTGGAAGATCAAGGTTCTGAATCATGGGGAGCACTTTCACAGGCAGTGACTTTAGACTGCTACTCTTGACACACGAAGAGCAGCTGTGGAGGGTTTGTGGCTCCATAATATTTCCCACCCACTTCATGATTGCTTAAACAACTTCAGAATATGCAAGTAAGACTGATGAGCTACATCCGAACTTGGAGCTGCATGTAACATGGACCTGTAGCCCAAAGACAAAGCCCTCAAAGTACGCACTTGGGCACCATTTTTCCATATGTTATTGTGCAATAGAGCAAATCAACATTCTACAAAGCAGCCCAAACAAAAAATAATAACTTTGAAACAGGGATTTATATTAGCACCAAAATTGGTACATATGTAGCAGACAGCCTGGTCTTACTCTGTGCCAATATGTGAGAGCGTGGGCAAAGGGTTTTCAAATTATGCTTTTTTAAAAAAAAAGTAAAAAGTGTTATCCCCATTCAGAAATAGGCAACCCTAAAAGTCCCCAGATTTAAAATAGCTCATATAAATTGAGAAGACTAGTCTTGCTTATCTTGAAAGAGAGTGTTTGGACACACCTGCATTTCTTTTATTTGGAAAGAATCCAGGCTGCAGGAGCTAAAATACTAATCTTCAAAAGAGACCTTTAAAATGGGAAAAACTGTGACTTTGTTGTAAACTGGGTATACATGGTACAGGCTTGCCAGGCAGATCATATAATGTAGCATATGGGTGAAAGAGAATTACAGGTCAACAAAAGTTCACAGCTATTATGAAAGGAGTCAAAAAACCAGGTTTGCATTAAAGAAAATAGTGGAGTGACAGTCCTCTAGAAAGGGAAATATTTTACTATGTATCTCCAGGGAAATAGCGTAAAATTTTGTTAGACATATTCAAAGAATTTCTGCATTACAAAAGCACAGAACAGTTGTATTTGTCCCAGCCCCAAATACTTTCAGCAAACATTCTCTCAGGAATTTTGAGATTAATTTCCTGACACACGTTTTCAAAGGGGAAA